TCCCGCGCCGTCGCCGTCTCCCGCCACGATCCCCCAGTCGCAGCCGGCCTGGCCCGGGTAATTGTTATCCCCAAACTGGGCGTGGGAATACAGCTCCTTCGTGCGCACGTCCGCCTTCAGGCGCCCGCCGCATTCTGGAACAAAGAGACAGCCCTCCATCCTTAGCCCCCAGCTCAGCCCCGACGAGACAGCTCTTCCCCACAGCACCACACAGGGAGAGTGGGGAGCCCCTGTAGCAAACCAATTGCCAAGGATGGCGGTAAATTCTCCAGCCATGCGGCGCCCCTACAGCAAGACCGGCTCTCCAAGAGGCTATTGCGTTCTACACCACCCACATTTGGCTCCATCGAGGGACCAGGAGGTGAAGATCTAGGGTCTCTGCCAGCCAGACCAGATCACCACCCTATTGGCCTTAAAACCTAGGGACATGTCTACACGGGGAAAACTGCCACGCCATGATGGGGTAGAATCGTACCGGCAAAGCAATGGGGGCAGGGCCGGCTTTAGGAAGTGCGGGGCCCAATTCGAACCAAATTTTGGTTGAAACAAAAAAAAAAAAAAAAAAAAAGGTCACCTTTAAGGGCGGCCATTTTGAACTCTGTTTTTCTCTGTCACACCTCCAACAGCTTCGCGGCACACCGGTGTGCCACGGAACACAATTTAAGAAACACTGTTCTATAATCTTGACTCACAAGCATCAGGTGACTGAGAACCTACCACACACCTAGGTAAGTTGTTCACCTAGAACCTGAAGTTGAATATTGTGGAGGTGAGTGGATTTGTTTTTGAAAACTCAAATGACATAGAAATAATTGGGCCAAATGGAAACCAAAATGTCTCTCGTTGGCTCTCTCTCAAATGTGCTCATTAAGATACCCGATGAATTTATACCTTGGGCAGGAAACCGATTCTGCACGCAACACAAAATCAAAGTGGAAACACCACTTTCTATAGGGCTATGTTCATGTTTACTCTGCTTTCTGTGGCTCCAGATGACAATTCATCCTTTTATATAGTGGAGGTTTGTTATGAACAAAAAATCAGTCACCAGACAAGTTTAAAACTCATGTCAGTTCTTTGCATTGTTGCTGTTACAAAACTAATGAATAATAATTAGTAAGCAATTAGTTGTAAAATGATAAATATAACTTCAGAAACTTTTTTTCTTTGTTAGGTACATAGTGGGCAGCCTGTTCAAAAGCAGGAGAATTTACAAGTAACTTTCTTACATATGAACATTTATATGCCAAAAACTGAGATCTTGGAAAAGTCAGCTGTTCTGAATACAAGGGCTATTGTTCCATTTCATTCTCTGAAAGAATTTAATTTTTTTTTCTTAGCTAAATTTTCTGATCTGCCAGCTGGGTATAAGCCAGAAGGGTTATCCAGTCAGACCTTACTGTGAGATTTACAATGAGAGCGCATCTAAGGTTTGTTTATTTCAGAATTAAAATGTAATTGTATAGAGCCATTTAAATAATTAAAGGGCAACAGGAAAAAAAAATGCCATGAAACCAAACAAATCAGTAAAAGTCATGGAAACCATCAGTGATATTTAATTCAGAAATTCTCTTTGTTCGGGGACTCAGCTGAAAGAAAACAGCTGGCCTTCGTTCAATGCTCTAAATTAAAAACAATCTAACAAGGTCTATGGGGATAACTCTTTTAGCTACATATTGGAGAGCAGATTCATTTCTACCGAGTAAATGTAATAGCACTCAAAGCTAAAAAGGAAATTCCTCAGAACTGAGGTAGTTTCTAAGTATCAGCACATTTTACAATCCCTCACAAGCCAACTTAGCTATTTACAATCCATTTTTTCCCACACATAAATTCATAACCTTTTCAATTTTATGCTTCCATGATTTATTTTCTAAAGAAAAAATATAGCCAGAATATGCATATTCTACTACCATCATGTTTTAATAAATAACTGGCTACTTCTAGTAAAATTACGTCTCCAGGATTGGTCATATCAGCCAAGAATATTCCATCATTATAGTACTGCAGAAATTTGGTGTGAAAAGGAAAGTTGAATACAATGCTGACCCTGAGCTAACAAGTAGTTAATGGTTCAATATAAAAATAGAAAATTATCCTTACAATGCAAGGTTGGCATATAACAAAACCCTCTCTGTAGATTATTCTCATGGCTGGAAGTATCCCGCCAGATTCTAATGGCTGTCCAAAAGCAGGAAGAGATGTGCAGAATCATTTTTAGTCCTTCTGCAGACTTTTGGTAACTCTTTTAAAGTGATTTCATTCTTTTCGAAAATATATATTCCTCTGATGAATTGTCACTTGCCACAAAACCGTTCTAGTTGGGAACGGAGACTCCTCGAGCAGCCCTCACTATGGTCATGTGGTGCCTTGGCCAGCAGGTTTGGGTGGTCTCTACTAATCCTCTGAAGTGACTGCATGTGACGCTCCTATGAGATGGGATCTGTCAGACCCGCCCATCCTAGCCCATTGCTAAACTCAGGTCTGTCGGACGACAGTGCAGTGTGCTACTTAGCCAGTCTGGGGGGCGGTGCTGTCGTAGCCGTCGTAGATCTCCATGTAGTCATAGCCGCAGTCGGCCTCCTCCTCTAGCTCAAAGGTCTGAAACGTTAATTCCACGCCGTAGCCGTCTTCAGCCACGATCACCCAGTAGCAGCCGGCCCGACTGGGCGTGGGAATACAGCTCCTTCGTGCGCACGTCCGCCTTCAGGCGCCCGCCGCATTCTGGAACAAAGAGACAGCCCTCCATCCTTAGCCCCCAGCTCAGCCCCGACGAGACAGCTCTTCCCCACAGCACCACACAGGGAGAGTGGGGAGCCCCTGTAGCAAACCAATTGCCAAGGATGGCGGTAAATTCTCCAGCCATGCGGCGCCCCTACAGCAAGACCGGCTCTCCAAGAGGCTATTGCGTTCTACACCACCCACATTTGGCTCCATCGAGGGACCAGGAGGTGAAGATCTAGGGTCTCTGCCAGCCAGACCAGATCACCACCCTATTGGCCTTAAAACCTAGGGACATGTCTACACGGGGAAAACTGCCACGCCATGATGGGGTAGAATCGTACCGGCAAAGCAATGGGGGCAGGGCCGGCTTTAGGAAGTGCGGGGCCCAATTCGAACCAAATTTTGGTTGAAAAAAAAAAAAAAAAAAAAACCCAGCCCACAAAGAAACAACTCACAGCCCTTTTAAATCCCCAGCTACAGGGTAGAGTTCCACCTTCCAGCCAAACCCATGAGCCAACACCCCCTCCCGTGGCGCCCGCACACTTCCGGGTTTAGGGCGCAGGCCCCTTTAGGCACGGGGCCCGATTTGGGGGAATCGGGCGAATCGGCCTAACGCCGGCCCTGGATGGGGGTCACACTCCCCAGGAGGCACTTACCATGAAACAAGAACACTTTTCCCTGGTTTGCTTCCAGTTGCTTTGAAAGTCCTGAGCTAAATCGGGGAAGAGCTCTTATTCCAGGATAAGAGTGTCCATACGTAGATTAGTTCTAGCTAACCTAGGCTGATGAGTCTCCCCATGTAGACAGCACCCAGGAGGCTACAGAGGCTGGAATAGGGGAGTCCCATGCTGGTAGGGGACGGCTGGCATGAATGGTATAATGCAATGTGCCCCCCCGACTCGTTGGGGCGGTCAGTATTTGCTGGTTAACGCTCACACGGGGTTATTCGTTTTTGGCGTGACTTTCTTGTGATCTGCCTAGTCTTATAGGGATGGGCCCTGGCTGATCTTGGGAGTCTCTCTTGCCCTGGAAATATACACAGTAAGGAGGCCAGGTCTACACTGCTGGGGCGAGGTCGGCTTAAGCTTGGCTTAAGAGTTAGGGTCATTCCTTAACACCATCTCCACAGCGGGAGGTCGACGGGAGAAACACTCCCATCATCTTCCCTTACTCCTTGCAACAGTGAGTACTGGCGCTGATGGGGGCAACCTCAACATTCGATTTAGAGGGTCTTTACTAGACCCACTAAATCAAACCCTGGAAGATCGATCGCCAGAGCATGGATCCTCTGGTAAGTGGAGACGTGGCCCCAGAGTTGCGTCCTTCCCAGTATCATTGGAATAGCCAGAGAAAATCCAACCCACCTGTGCTATGCTTTGCCTGGAAGCCTTTTCTTTGCACAGAAGCATCAGAGTAAAACCTGAGGAACATTTTGTTAGCAGACGCCACCACCGGGTCCGGTTTCTTGCTGCCACAGAAGCGGCCAAGGATGGGTGACTTGCCGTTGGGGCCATCGTACATTTCCAAGTGGTCGTAGGCGCACTCCTGGTGCTGCTCAATCTCAAACTCGCTGAACGTCTACGAGGCAAGCACCGACAGCGGCAATTAGCCCTCTTGGGAGCCAGGCAGAAACGGACCCTTCTCTGACAGCATTTAACACACGGCACGGCGCAAAACAGGGGAAAGCAGGAGGTGCCCAGTCAGACACACGCAAGAGCAGAGTTACTGCCTGTTCTGGAAAGTGCATAAACAAAGAATGCCTGCTTCCGTGGATGAATGAGGACATAGGGCTGTGGGTAAGTCTGCTGGCATTTGAGGCCCATGTTATAGATTCTATTTCCTCCCCTACAAATACATTCAACGGGACCATAAGGTTGCAAAGTCAGGCACTGAAAACGTAGGAAATGCCTAAGTTAAGACTGCCCCGTCCCATGTGCATACGCATCGTGATGCCGTCTAGAAATACAAGATCACATTCTCCCCCTCCTCCCCCCCAGTGGTCTTGCGTCATTCAGGGCATGGTATTTATTCAGTATTTCTCGTTCCCCCCTCGTTCAGTGTATGGGGCCTTTCACACGCCACCCTGCACTGAAGACAGAAGTATGGCTTTCTTCCGAGGGGTTGCCTTTGTGCTCACTCAGTAGCATTGGGGTGCATCGCAAACGGGGTTTCCTCTAAGCTGCGCAGCAGTACGGCTCGGTAGCTGCTTAATGAGCCCCGCCCAGGGGCTCAGGGCTCACGCACAGAGCTGCCTGGTTGGGGGAGGGGCTGCTGCTGTCGCTGAGGGAGAAGTACCCCTCTCCAGGCGGCTCCTGGAGCCCAGCTGGGCTCATTCAGCCGTGCCGCCGCGCAGCTGAGGGGGAACGCTGGCCACAAACTCTGCCGAAGGAGTCTGGGCAACTAACGGCACAAGCAGAAAAGCGGATGGAACCCCTCTTGGCTCCCCCCGGGGTTACTCACGATTTTCACCCGGTGGCCAGGAGTGGCGGACACGTTCCAGGTGCATTCCTTCCGGCTGGGGTACTTGTCGGGCCAGTTCGGACTTGCCATTGTTCCTTCTGCGCTGCTCACTTTGTGCTCGCAGCCCGCTAGAGAGAGAGGGAGGCACCTACTCAAGCCTCCGGAGCTGGAGCAGGCAAGAGGCTAGCTGCTGGGTAACACTGTGCCCACGGGAGGACGCGACCTGGGACCCCCGCATCTTTCAGCCGGAGCTTCTGCTGCCAGAGCTACCACCCCCCTCTCTCAGCCTCGGCTGCAGCAGGGTCCCCGTGCCCTGTGGCTCAGGAATGACAAAGCACCACGCTGCCTGGGCCGGAGTTACAGTCTAGCTCCTGTGCCGTGCCGGGAGAGCAAAGGCCCTTCCTTGTCCCACGTGTAGTGCTTCCCCGCTGAGCCCACGTGCCCTCTGCTCCCACCCTGGGCAGTAACCTCTCCCCCAGATCCGTCTCTTCCCCCACCTCGCCCTCACTCCTGCAGTGTCTCTTAGGCACCGAGCCATTTGCGTGTCCATCAAAGGGCTGCTCAGGGCCAGTGTGAACGGAGGGAGCGGTCTCCATCCACGGATCCAGGCCTCTGTCCACAAAACCCCCGGCTGCAGGCTGTGGCCCATCTCAGCAGACACACCGAGCTGCGGGGTACGCTAATTGCAGCTAGCTTGTCCTGCCCTCTGCTGTCCCCTTCTGGGGCTAAACACAAGACTCCAGATGCCGCGTCTCAGTCTGTTACCAGCCCGAGATTTGCTCTGACTCCAGTTTCTTCCTGCCGTGAGAGTTACGGGGCCGAGCAGCACTCCGGCCTCAAGAACCACCACTGGCATTGCCCGCTGACCCTTTCAGTGGGGACTGGATCCGTAGCTGTTGCCAGACAATCCCACGGATCAGGCAGATAGCGACGGAGAGGCACCTCTGCGGTGCCGCCTACTTACAGAGACGGGATGAAGCAAACTCCACAATAGCATTACATGCACAAATGATCCCTCTCCAGTCAACTCCTGGAGGAAGAGTGAATTGGTGTCACGGCACATAGCCACTCTCCTGGGACCTAATTAACTGCCGGCACCAATACACACACGGCCGTAAACTTCAGTGAAACGCCGTTTCTTCACTCCTGACCTGCCACTCCCTCGGGGTTAGTGGGGGACCCACATTCCCCGGCATTTGCAGAAGTTTTCTCAAGTCACATCACTTCCACCAGAGCCAGAAGGCAAAGAGTTTCACCGGAGATGCAGGGGGTCTGTCTAGGGATGCAAGAGATCAGTCGATGCTGATAAGCAGAAATGTGTCGGATGGTCGACTAGTGACACAACTAGTCGCTTCCCCCCCCTTCCCTTGCTGCCTCTGTCAGAGAGAGGCAGCAAGTGGGGGGGGAGCAGGAGCCGGTGCTGGGGGGAGCCGGCTTAAAAGCTGGTTCCTCCCAGCACCGTCTCCACGGGGGTCAGGGGAGGTAGAGGCACAGTAGAAACGGTGTGAGCAGGCCTGAAGCCGTCTCCGCGTGCGCTGCTTCTGCTGCGATTCTGCTTTTGAAATATACGAGACCAGAGGGGTCCCCTGCTGGTCCCATGCTCCCTGCGGGGCTTCCTTTTGAAATGGACAAGATCCTCACTGGGTTTCTGCAGGGTTTCTGGTTTTGAACTGTAGCAAGCGCCTGGCAGGGCTTTTGCTACACTTCAAAGGCGGAGGATCCCTTATTGACTAGTCGATGGAAATCCTGTCGACAATTCGATTAGTGAACTAATCTAACTGTAACATCCCTAGGTCTGGCTACGCAGCCCACGGCAACAGGACTCCTGGCCTGGCTCCGCACACCTGGGCGTGCGCTGCCACGCTCAAACCAGCAGTGTCGATCCCGCAGCTCGGGCTCTGAAGTTTGGCGCTGGGGTTGCTCTGTAGCCCACAGACACGGGTTTCCCCACAGCCATGTCTACAGCACCGGTGTGTGCCCTACGAGCTGCGTTCCACCGATCCAGGCTGGGGAGCTCTGTGGAGAGCTGCCGAACTCGGCACGGAAACTTAGTGGGAGCCGAGCCCTTCCTTCCCTCGTGCTCCTTGCACGAGGCAGGCTGGGAGCCAGTCCTTGGTGCATCTGCCGCAGGCTCCGTTCCCGTCCGTAGGCAGGACCGGCCCGTGGTTTGCTGCATGATTGACCTCACTCGGGGAGGGCCCCGTGGCTGCAGCGAGCGGCACCTCACCTTCTTTGCAGTCGCGCCCGTTCTCGTGCAGCATGAAGCCGTTCCTGCACTGGCAGGCGTAGCTCCCGAACGTGTTGACGCATTCGTCCTGACACCCGCCGTTGTCTTTGGAGCATTCGTCTTTATCTGGGGAGGGACAAAGTGGGGGGAAGCATGAGTCCATGCCGAGGGGAGGAAGCGGAGCCGATGATCACCCGGCACACTCTGCTAGGGCCGAGAACTCACCTAACTTTTTGCCCCTTCCCCCAACAAACTGTGAACAGACGAACACAGTCCTCCGGAGACCTGGCAGGCAAATTCACCAGTCCTAGCAAAAATACTCGCCCAGCTTTCAACCGGCAACCCTGTGTCATGCTCTCCGAGTGCCCACACTGGGTCAGACCAAAGGGCCTTCTAGCCCAGCATCCTGCCTTCTGACAGCAGCCGGCGCCAGCTGCCCCAGAGGGAATGAACAGAGCAGGGAATCATCATGTGATTCCTCCCCCGTCGCCCGTTCCCAGCCTCTGGCGAGCAGGACGAGCCGGCTGGCCGGCCCAGAGAGCTTTCATCCCCGAAGGACACAGCCGCGTACCGGAAAAGAAGTGGACTTTGAATCCCTTTTTGGATACCGCGTTGTCCGATTTGAACTCCAGCCTCAGGTTGTTGCTAGACGACGTGATCACTTCTGGCTTCTCCGAGCCGCAGAATTTGCCGTGGAGCTTGGAATTGGAGGCCAGCCCACTGCGCACCTCCACGTAGTCGTACTTACAGACCTGCCAGGGGAGAGTCGGGCGTCAGAGCACGGGGGGCGCAGACACACACTGCAGTGCGGGTCTCCCTTTCCCGAGCGACACAGCAACTCACACCCCACAGTCTCTTACTATCATGAACTCCTCCCCTTCCCGCTCCAGCTTGTCATCGACAGGTTGAACCTCTCTAGTCCGGCACCCTCGGGGCCTGACCGGTGCTGAACCAGGGAATTTGCCGGACCACGGGAGGTCAGTATTGTCTGGCAGCATTGCCGCCGCTGCCCTGCTTACTGGGCTCTGAGAAGATCCGGAGGGGTAAACCAGAGCTGAATCACAGCCCAGCACACTGAGCGCCAGGACTGGTGGCTGTAAAACTGAATGGGGCTGCAGGAAACTTGGCCACATCCATGCTACGTGGACACCTGGCTACTTCAAATCATGCCGGACCACGGAGGTTGCCAGAGCAGAGAGTGTCGGACGAGAGAGGTTCCACCTGTACCACCACGGGGAGGGGAAGAGAGTCTACGCACACCCGTTCCCCGGAGCAGCAGGGAGGGAGGAAGCCACGTAGTTCCAGGAGCATGAGGAGGGCAGGTGCTGGGGGCAGCAATACTCTGCCCCCAGAATGCCCCCCCACCCCACCAAGTGCTCTGGGGGGCAGAGCGTGGTTGGGGCCAGTCTGGCGGTTTGGGAAGGCAGAGCCTCCCCCAACTAAGCCACCGGGCACCCACGTGTGTAAGCCGGAGGTTTGCAGCGTGGGGAGTGCCTGTAATAACAGCTGTAAGTGGAAATACCTCGGACAGCCACTGCCATAGGTGCAAGCTCATTTGTGACGGGACTAGCTCAGGACGGCTCCACTCCCGACCGAGGCACCAGATTCCTCTCGTTCAAAAACGCCTCACTACCTGCTGCCTCTGGCTCGTTAAATCAAGGGCCGAGAAACACTGGGAAGCCCCCAAACCAGGCCATAGCCCCAGGTCCCCCATCAGGAGCCGGGCCAGCCGAGAACCGCAGCTACCGACTCCCCGGACCGGCCACGTACCTCGTTGCCTTCCAGCTCAAAGACTTCAAACTGCAGAGAAATCCGGTACTGGGCAGGCGCCACCACCTGCCAGACACAGTTTTTGTTGGTGGGGTATTCCTTGGGCCAGCCGGGGCTCGTGATGGTCCCGTTGGGGTTGGTGATGAAGCCGCCACAGGCCGCTGGAGGGGAGACACACGGGCATAAGGGTTACCGCCTTCCGGCCAGGCAAAGAAGAGACGGAGCCGCGGTGTCCCTTAGGAAACCAGTCAGCGCTTGTTGGGGGCAACCACCGGGCCAGGGCCTGTGTTCTCAATCCTGGGATGGGTTGTAAACTCGCCGAGAGCAGGGAGAAAATGGAAAATCGCTTCCGGCCGCATCCTTGGCTAATAAACACCAGCGCAGCTCCACCAGAGTAGCCGGACCTTTGCCGGTCTAGGCCTGCTGAGGGTCCCGCCCTGGATATCGCAGGAGCCTTTCGGGATTGGTCACTACTCAATTTTTCACCTCAGGTTCAGTGACAGCCAATTAACTTGAGGGCGGGAACGTGACTGGGCGGGCCACTGTGGGGATTGCTCGTGTGTTCGTTCTAGGCCACGCAGGGTGGCTCTTCATGCTACAGAGCTGCCTAGAACCAATGTTTGTAGCCTTCCTCAAGCAGGCCAGGTGTGCCCAAGGGAGCCTTTACAAATATTACGTGTACCGCCGCGGACGTGGCAATCGATTAACTTGAGTCTGAAAACGTCATAAGAACGGTCAGGTTGGGTCAGGCCAAAGGTCCATCCAGCCCAGTGTCCTGTCGGCCCACAGCGCCAAGGCCAGGTGCCCCAGAGGGAGTGAACAGAACCGGGAATCATCCAGTGATCCCTCTCTGTCACCTATCCCCAGCTACTGACAAATAGAGGCTGGGGACACCATTCCTGCCCATCCTAGCTAATAGCCATTGATTGGACCTATCCTCCATGAATCTATCTAGCTCTTTCTTGAACCCTGTCTTCACAACATCCTCTGGCAAGGAGTTCCACGGGTTAACTGTGCGCTGCGTGAAGAAAAACTTCCTTTTGTTTGTTTTAAACGTCTACTAAAGGCAAACCCTTTGGTGGTTTGTTATCCACCTCGACACCAGGAGAAGGTTCTCTCACACACACACACACACACACACACACACACACACACACCTTTTTCCTAGCAAAGCTAAAGCCAGTGTGGTTGTGGTGACTTAGGGCTGCTGATGGGGTGAAGGGGAAAAGGGGGTCAGAGCCCAGAAATTTAAGAGGGTTCAGGGCTGCCAGCCACCCCCACTGCTACCATGGCAGTGGTCTGGACCTCCGGGCCCTTTTAAACCTCTCCCTAATGTCCCCAGCAGTGCTGAAGGACTGACTGGGGGAGGCTAGCCCCAGCCCCGCCCCTTCTGTCTGAGGCTCCGCCCCTTCTGGCTGGCCCAGCACCGGTTCCCCTCAGGCCCCGGTGCAGTCTCTTATCCGCCATACAGAGCAAGCAAACACGAGAGAGCTCGTCTTGGCCTTCGTTTCCTAGCGCCCCGTCAGCACGGCGCTGTTTCATGGGCTTCTCAGAGTTCAAAGGCTGACCTGGCCCTGCGCGCGTTCCCTCTAGAAGAGCCAGACGCAAAACAACGCATCTGACGGAACAGCCGTGCATTCCAGCCAGCTGCCAGTCCCCGCCCGGCAGCTGAAGGCCAGGGGCTGTTCACGTCCCCCACCACCTGCCCTTTCACTTGGGCCTACGCTCAGCTGAGAGCGCAAGACACAGACCTCCCCCCACCCCAACTCTGCTAAGGGATCCAGACCCTGGTCTGAATTCTGTTAATATTGGCTAGACATTTTCAGCAAGGCTCAGAGGGGACCCATGGAGGCAGGACTGTTGTATTCTCTCCCGACAGATTCTCTGTGCTGTCACGCTGGGTGTGTCCAGACGATAGCTCTCTGTCGACAGAGGGATGTAGATTAGGCATGTCGAAATCGCTAATAAAGCAGGGATTTAAATATCTAATATTAGTTGGGATTGGTCCTGCCTAGAGCAGGGGGCTGGACTTGATGACCTTCTGAGGTCTCTTCCAGCTCTCTGGTTCTATGATCTTGCGCTTCATTAGCATAAACACAGCTGCTGCTTTTTTTCCAGCACGGAGCTTTTTTGTAAAAAACAGCCATCTAGACGTGGATCTGTTGAAAATAAACCCTTTTTTCGACAGATCCTGTATTCACAGGAAATGGGTTTATTTTAGACAGATCCGCATCTAGGCTGCTTTTTTTTTTTTCCCCGAAAAAGCTCAGGGTCGGGAAAAAACAGCAGCCATGTTTATGCTAATGAAGCACGGGATATTTAAATCCCTGCTTCATTAGCAGTTTCGATGTGCTTGATTTGCATCCCTCTGTCGACAGAGGGATGCAGTTTAGACATAGCTCCAGTGTATAATGCGCCCCTCGGCCAGGCCTGAAGCAGCAAAAGCAATCTCTGTTACATATGCCATGCAGGGTGCTGGGTCGGGGGCCGGGGACTCACTGAAAAAAAAAAAAAAATCACACAAAAGTGAGAGCAAAGAAAAAAAAAAAAACCACCCCTCTCTGACTGAGAAACTTGTGAATTGGATAGAGAGAGATATACCTGTCTCCTAGGACTGGAAGGGACCTTGAGAGGTCATTGAGTCCAGTCCCCTGCCCTCACGGCAGGACCAAGCACCATCCCTGACAGATTTACCCTGGATCCCTAAATAGCCCCCTCAAGGATTGAACTCCCAACCGTGGGTTTAGCAGGCCAGTGCTCAAACCACAGAGCTAACCCTCCCTCCCTGGCTTGCCTGACTCCAGCCTGCGAGGATCAGGCCCCTCCCCCCTCAGTTACAGGGGAGATGGGGGGGATGGACCGCCCAGCACGAGCTCCCCGATGCTGGAGAAAGGGGAGCCCTGAGCCTCAGGAGCCGGCTCCAGGCAAGTTAGAGGCTGGGGCCGGCCCCTGGGCCTTAGCTTCCCCGCCCCGGGAGGTTTCAAAGGCCACGTCCCCGTTTCCTGTAAGGTAGACGAATTGAAGAGAAAGTAGTTCTAGACCAATCCAGGCCGTGCCAGTCGCATCATGCACAGGCGCCATCTCACGCAGAGCGACTTTCAGCATCCCTCGGCACGAGCCTACCTCCGCTGCCATTACGATCCGTGCCAGGCCTCCCCACTGGGGGCAGAACCAAAGGAGGCCTAAAAAGGGGGGCGGGTGTTGAAGCACTTGCTCATTCTGCTCACGACTCCCAAACCGGTGCTCAAATAAGGGGCGGAAACCCGAGAAGAGCAGGGAGGGGAATGTCTCATTGGGGCAGGGCTGCGTGGTCCGTGCTGGCTACCGCGTGTTTAAAGTCATCCGCCCGTTATAGCTAGGACCGGGTGAAAAATTCCCCTCAAAACTTTCCAGCCAAACCACTGGGGCTTTGGTTGCAGGTTTTTCATGGGACGTTTCTGCTTTCCGGGGGGCGTGTACATTTGCAGGGCAAAACTGACCACCCAGAAACCAAAACTTTTTTGATTCCAGCATCCAGCTGAACTATTTTGCTGCTGGCATCTGCCACGGTGCCCCACCACTGCTCCCCCTTCTTTTCAGTGGCCTGGGCTCCCCCCTTCGGGCCTCATCCCCCACCGGGCACAGCGGCCTCTCCCTCGCCCAGAACTGACATGCTGGCGTGCCCTGGAAGATGCAGGCCAATCAACCCAGCAAGGAGAATGGGATAACACAGGATTAAAATATTTTGGCTTTCGGACAGAATCAATCACACTTCCTTTTGTCACTGAAAAAAATCGATGTTTTCCACGGAAAATTCTGAGGAAACCGAAATGTGGTTGTGTCAACATTTTTCCGTGAGGGGGGAGGGGCAGGGAACCATTTTCAAACCACGTTTGCTTAACTCTTCTTAACCGTGGCACCCTCCCCTCTCCCAATCACGCGCCCCGCTCTGCAGGATACTGACCCTCACAGCCTTTTTTATCCCCCGTCAGCTCATAGCCAGGTTCACAGGCGCACTTGTAGCTGCCCAGGGTGTTCACGCAGCGCTGTTCACACCCACCGTTGTCCGGCCGAGAACATTCGTCCACCTCTGTGGGGAAGCAAAGGCAACACTTCAAGCTCTCCTCATGGGCCACAGGAGCAGTGGAAGAGGTCTAGAGGGGCTACAACAGTCCTGCCCTTACCAAGTAAGGGGCTTACAATTAGCATCACCAGCCTACTGGTCATTGCTCAATTCCTGACGACAAAGGAGCCCCCCGGAGGTAGGGATGTAATAGCGCAGTCCATTAACCGATAAGCAAAGCTATAGGTTAATGCTGTAGACAACATGCATTTCCTCCCCCCTTGCCAGTACGTTTCTTAGCAGGCTGGCCAGCAGCCCGGCTCAGTCCAGGCTTGTGCTGGGTCCGGGACCTACTCCTCCAACAACTCTGCACTTAAAGTATATTAGGAGCCAGGTGGGCAGACAACCTGGCTCAGTTCCAGCTCGCGCTGGGTCCAGGAGGTCAGACTTGCCTTCGACAGGGGCTGCTGCCTCTGTATCAGAGGCAGCAGCATGGGGCAACAGGCAGCCGGTCCATGAGGGGAGCTGGTTTTTCAACTGGCGCCCCTCGTGAACCAGCTCCCGCCTGGCACCCCACGCTGCTGCCTCTGATACAGAGGCAGCAGCATGGAGTGGCAAGGGGGCTCCTCGGGAGTGGGGCTGGAGCAAACTGGCTGCCGGCCCCACCCCCGGGGACTGTAGAATAGTCAAGCAACAGATAAGCATTCTTGAGGTTAATCAACTATTCAGTTAACCAATAGGTGAGAACTACAACAACAAGCTGGCAGGAGACTTTCCCCTTTAATAAGGACCTATGGAGGCTTCAGTTTAAGCTGTACTATCCCAAGCAGCTTGCGTCCCCAGTTGAGACAGAGGCCGTGTGTTGATCTTTGCCTGTCGGCCACACCGCTAAACTCTTTGGCCTGCACTTGAGTCATGGGACGTTCCTGGGAGAGGGGTTGAAAATGTCTCTTGTGGAGAAGTTTCATCTCAATGAAACCCACTTCGGGTCCGGTACCTTTGAAGAAGTTGGCTGCAAACCCTGCTTTGTTGATGGACCCATCGGAGGCAAACTTCATCCACACTTGATTGGAGCTGGATTTGATATCTTCTGGCTTCTCATAGCCGCAAAAGTGTCCGATCAAAGGGCTGTCCTCGGTAGGGCCGTCTCGGATTTCCAGGTAGTCATAAGCACAGCTGTCGTGCCTCTCAATCTGCAGCGGGAAAAGGAACACACCAGGGGAGGTTACCCACTTTGCTCAGCCCAGTCAGACTCTGGTTCGCTTGAAAGGATCAAAAGGCACACGTGGATTCGGTCCAGTCAGGATATAGCTCTCTGGCGCAGCTGAATTAGGGCATTGGAAAGTGCGGGAGATGGTAAGAGGGGGCTCCTCAGGAGGTTACGATCAGCCTACCAATCTACAGAGCACGCTACTGGTTGCATGCTTTAGATTGCCCGCTTAGTTGAATGTGTAATTGACGAATATGTGCACGGACAGAACCCACCACTGGGACCCTTGAATACACACAACAGCGAATGTGCTGGCAAGCGGTGTGCGGTCCTCAGATAAGACCTGCACAGGTAGATTATCTGAAGGAGCAGCAAAGGCGTCAAGGTGCAATACACGCTTTTCTCTGATGCAAGTGGCATGAGGATGGGCTGGAAATAATTTTCTAAAACAACCACGTCGGCGGGGGAAGTCCCCAATGTTACAAAACGTACGTTCTTTGCCACGCTCCCTTTTTACCGTCTCTCGGCTGGCCGTGTTCGTGCCCAACTCAAACCTCTCACCTCAAATGCTTGGAACATGAGTCCTACATGAAAGCCCTCGGAAACCGTGACCTTCCAGATGCACTCTTTGGATGGCCGGTAGTCGTCTGGGTAATTGGGAGACTGAATCTGGCCAGCGTCCTTGTGAATTTCTCCACCACAGATTGCTTCAGGAAAAAAAACCACACCACACGTTGATGGGATTACACATGGTTTCCTCACCGAATGCCTGCTCCCAACACACCCTCTCCCCTTTCAAATCTATGCTAACCACATTCCTTCTACCCAGGTCCCAAACAAATCATAAAAGGTATAAAAAGTCAAACATGAGTCCTCCTTGCGCCTCTTGTTTTACTATATCCAGCCCCAAGGATATCAGCTCTCTGGGGCAGGAACTGTTTGGCTACTTGGGCCAGTACACTACTACTAATTTAATTGTCAAGTGAATAATAGCAATCCTCCATGGAAGCAGCGTTAAAGCCCATAGGAGAAAAATAACATGGAATCCTACCACTAGATGGCGCTGTCTGCAAACAGTTTAATGGAGGTCACGAGAAAAAACAATTCCATCTCTTCCAAAAAAAGTGTTCCGAAGTCAGGATAGGGACCGATAACGGACCCAGCCAATTCCCCGTTGTTAGATCATCCTTTATCACTCCCTTTCCCCCCACCCCACTGAGCTGGAATCAAGGGATCCGTTCCCAACATGTTACACCACCACCCCACTGCAAAACAGAACGCAAACCGTGTTAAACACACAAACCTGCGTAACTGCCTTTTGGTGACAAACTGATGAGAGCGTTTACACCGCAGTGCAACTTTTGTCGGGGAAAACACTCAGTTTTGGTGACAAAAAACTTCCAGCCCTGTGAGGGACACTTTTCCTTTTCTCCTCCCTTTATTGTCAACAAAGAGCCAGCTTGGACTCTGCTGTTTGTTTTGTTGAGAGAACTGGCTGCTGCGAGTATCCCACAATGCCTGCCCTGATGGCGCTGCTCAGCGTTTTGTGATCTCTGCTTCCCTAACTCTTATCTAATACTTTTTGGCAACAATTTTCGAAGCGCTTCCCACAGGATGTCAGTATCATTAATCCAATTTTACAAATGGGGAAACTGAGGCAGACCAGTGGCGGAGCCCTCTGTGTGCACGTACTCATGTGGAAGAGCATATGCATACAGCCCACGTAAAGACACTTTTCACAGTGTAAACATTTCAGGAAAGAGTCCGCGATCCAAACCAGATCTGTGCCTTTGCGCTAAATCCTGTAGGTGTCAGACTTCAGGCATTCTAGTTTTAAAGCCTTGATCTATAGCTTCAGCGACAGCTCGGCCCGACCTTCTGAATCCTGCTCAGGGTTGTTTGAAGCCTTCCAGTGTGGGATTGGGAGGGGGGCTGGTGCATTTCGTGCTTTTTGATAGTTTAAATCAGTTGCATTCTTTCTGAAAGGCTCCTGCCAGTTAACCAGCTAGACAACAGCACAAAGTGTTGTATCTGCCTTCCGGGTATTTTCAGCAGGGAGCGACACGACAAGTGGGTGCTTCAGACGGGTAGTAAATGAGTCCTAGATCCAGCCCAAGAGCTAAGTGAAACACACAGAGATCCATGTGCCTCACCTGTTCTGAAAATTACTTAAATTTCTGATCTCCCTGGTTTTGGTCCCCAGTAATTACTCTGGCAGACAGGGAAAGCAACAATAGAAATGTAAGCAGCAAAATCAGTGCGGGAAAAAAAGCTCTTACAAGGGGAAAAAGCTCTCCAAATATTTAACAGAAAGGGGTGAAAGCCTTGCTAATTGCTAGGAAAAGGTTCAGACCTCCAGCTCTCGGGGACATTGCATTGCCAACTCTCAAATGCCCAGATCCATGTCACTGAGAACCAGCCTCCGAAACGTCTATATAACAACCCCCTGCAAAGCCACCTTTCCCCCCCTCCCGCCTTGCAGCTGATCGCACCCTTACCCCGCAGCCTGTGGATTGCAGTAACAACCACAGTCCCCAGGCTGGTGTTGGCAGGGAAAAAGGAAATCTGTCTTGCTTGCAAACTAGTGGGAGAAGCAAAACAAAACCCTCCTTTTGTGAAAAAATGCTGTTTTTTTATCCCCACGTGTCCATGCCAGACCCCCTTTATTTTTCTAAAGAGCCAGTGGACTTTCCTTCCATTTTCCCCTCCCCAAACCAACGAGGGAATTTTCTCCCAACACTTTCCACAACATTTTCAGCATTTTCTAGCGACGTGTGCAAGACGGCTCGTGCACAACGACCTGGAGAATGTATATTCTGGGGCTTAAACAAAGGCCACCGATTGACAAAAAGACACTCTGGGCTCCAAAATTCCAGCCAGCTCCATTGCACACCCCTTCGTCCTGCTGTAAGATGCTGCGACACCTCGCCTCTGGAAGGCCCTCACAGACAATAGACATAGCGCGTCACACCAGGACAACACATGTCCACTGACCAGCGGGGAAGGGCCAGGACTGCAGGCAAGCCCCGCCTCTGACAAGAAATGTTAGGCAGCCTGAAATTCATCCAAGGAGCTTCACCTTCAAGGATCTTACCTAATCCGCCTGAAGGACAACAGGCTGTGTCCATCATTTGGCCTCAGGGAGGGTAGAAATTTCGGTGCCAGACGCTTACAATCTCTGAGCAGAGACCTGGCTGGACAGTTAACCTGTGAGGAAGCACCAACCTCCCAGTGATAAACCTCTGCCTAGATGGGTGGTAGCTACAGTAGGTTCTTAACAGGTGGAAGCAGAGGAGCTGTGCTCAGATGTGGTCTACTCTATACCATCCCCTGGAAACAGGCTGGGCCTTGCCTACTGACGGGTCCCACTAGCTTTTGGAAAGGGAGCGAGTGCAGAGCTGTCATTTCTCCAACAGGTCCCCGTTTGTTACTTCCCCACGTCGTGCTGGGATCCCCTCGATGCCGGCCTCCTAGCGAAGGGTCGTACCTTCATAAACCACAAAGAAACCTTTGCCCAGGATGTTGCTGCTGCTCCGGAACTCGATCCACAGCCGGCTGTCGGTGGAGATCAGAGGCTCGGGGACTTTATCCCCACAGAATCGACCTAGGAGGCAGGAAACGGACCATCAAGATCTCGCCTCGGCGACTGGCAGAAGTGGCTTGTGATCACCAGGGCAGTGGACAGGGAAATGTACAAGGCCACCTGCCCTTCGAGAGAACAGTCCAGCTGCCAAAGTCAACACAGCCAAAGGTTTTTCATTCCAACTGCAACTTAGATAAGAACATCAGAACGGCCAGACTGGGTCAGACCAAAGGTCCATCTAGCCCAGTATCCTGTCTGGGGCACCTGGCATTGGCCACTGTCGGCAGAGGGAGTAAACGGAACAGGGAATCCTCACATGACCCCTCTCCTGTCATCCATTTCCAGACAAACGGAGGCTAGGGACACCATTCCTACCCATCCTGGCTAATAGCCATTGATGGACCTAACCTCCATGAATTTATCTAGCTCTTTTATGAACCCTGTGTTAAAGGCCTGGTCTTCACATCATCCTCTAGCAAGGAGTTCCACAAGTTGACTATGCGCTGTGTGAAGAAAACTTCCTTTTGTTTGTTTTAACCCTGCTACCTATTAATTTCATTTGGTGACCCCTAGTTCTTATATTATGGAAACAAGTCAATAACTTTTCCTTGTTCGCTTTTCCACACCAGTCATTTTATAGATCTTTAAAAAAAAAAAAAAAGTCACCTGATTAGTATTCACCTGGGATAGGGTTTAAACATCATCTGGGAACAACAGCCAGCCTGGCTCGCTCCCAAATGCGGCCACCATTCGCCTGGCACTCGATTTACCCACACAAAAACGGGGCCATCTTAAATGGGATCTAGGTGAATGCAGTAGGGACTTGAGTCTCCCGTATTGTGAGTGACAAAGAGCTCGGAGTGACAGCCGCAACGCAGGGGTCCTGGCACATTCCCTCCCATCATTCTTATTTCTTTGTCGAACCAAGAGCCCGAGTCATGGCCCGGTGCCCACTGGGCTGCACTGCCCAGACACAGACTAAAAAGACGTCCCTTGATAGCGAGAACGGTGAATTATCGGAGCTGGGCAGATTTTCCTGCTCGGTCCCCTGCAGCCTGATGGCGCTATCTTACGCAGGTGCTTCCCCGGGGGCTTTCCACGGCTTGATTCTCACTGTTCCGGTGTCCGGGACTGCATACAGCCCAGTGACCCTGTGCATGCAGATGGTGTTACAGCCCGGGCTCCTCGAAGCCTGGTGCACTCAAGACACGTAAATCACCGAGGCAGGATGGTTCCTTCCTTCACTGGGCACCGGCAACACAATCTGCTGTAGGCAAGGGGGGGTTGTTCCTCGGGAGTAGCTAAGTCCCTGCTTAGCCAATTGACTCGGCGGGGGGAATTTGGCACAGACTAAATGTAATTACCTCAATTGGAGTGCAGCCAGCTCATCGGGGTTCAGATTGCTGGTCTTGCACAAAAAATAGATTAGCTAGCTAGCTACAAGGGATGTGTAGGGAGAGACAGACAGACAGAGGGTGGGGGGAGAGATCAATCGGCCGATAGATCGGGGAGGGAGGGGAGTTGGAGAAATAGAACCATAGATAGATCAAGGAGGTGTGTGGGGAGCAATAGATCGGTCGATGGGGGAGATGGGGAGAGAGATCGATCGATCGATGGGGATGCTAGGAGAGAAAGATCAATCGACAGATAAGGGGAGGTGTGGGGAGCGATTGATTGATCGATGGGGATGTTGGGGGAGAGAGATTGATAGATTAAGGAGGAGCAATAGATTGATAGATCGATGGGGTGTGTGGGAAGAGAAGAGGACTGAGTGTGGGGAATGATGGATTGATTGATCGATCGATAGGGATGTTGGGGGAGAGATTGATCAATCGATAGATTAAGGAGGGCGTGGGGAGTGATAGATCAATCGATGGGGCTGTTGGGCGAGATTGATCGATAGATTAAGGGGAAGTGCTAGATTGATAGATAGATCGACGGGGTGTGTAGGAGAAGAGAGAGAAGGATGAGGCGCATGGGGAAAGAGAGAGATAAATCAATAGATCGATCCAGGGGACCTGTATTACCCCACGGTGACAGAGCTTGGTGTCACGTCCCATCGGAAAGCTGGTGTCTCCGTACCCACCGACATGCTGCCTGATGAATTGTCTCTCAGCTCAGGCCATGTCAGGAGGAGGAGGAAAGGGGAGTGAATTAGCTACCGCACGTTAACCAACCAGCTGTCAAACCCTGGTGGGGAGAAGGCCATGACGGGTTCACACGTTAGCTGGCTGATGTTCCTGCCAGGCTGCCGGAGGCCTTGAGGGCGTGCTCCCAACTTGGAGAAGGCAAGCGCTCGGGTGGAATAGCATCTGCTGACCCACACGACCGTCTTCCGCCTGCATCTCCCCTCCCAACGCTAACACCGACCCGACCCCGCTTAGCGCACCGACTCGGACCAGATCCCCCCCAAAGTCCAGTCCGCGTGGGTCAGGAGTCCTTGCGGTACGGCAGAGACGGGGACACGGTTCGCTGAAGCATTCCAACGCCCGGGAAAGGAAGAGCAGCCAAAAGCACCGAGGCTGCAAAGTTACTTAGTTCTAGGTGCCCGGAGCAACTGCCTGCTGTATCTCAAATGGAAGTGCTGCGAGGACGTGGAGGAGAGGAAACGCAGAGGAGGAGGCCCGAATAAGTGAGCCCCTGGGAGTGCGATAAAGGGTCCCATTCATAAAAAGTTATGCCCCATTTAAGGCTGGATTTTCACACACATCCCTGGGAAAATATGCAGCGCGCCTTTTTTCTAGGTGCCCGGAGCAACTGCCTGCTGTATCTCAAATGGAAGTGCTGCGAGGACGTGGAGGAGAGGAAACGCAGAGGAGGAGGCCCGAATAAGTGAGCCCCTGGGAGTGCGATAAAGGGTCCCATTCATAAAAAGTTATGCCCCATTTAAGGCTGGATTTTCACACACATCCCTGGGAAAATATGCAGCGCGCCTTTTTTATTCATGCTAATCCTCCTCCCCACCCCCCGCCGGACCGCCACCAGCCTGCCTCTTCCAAACTAATTTCATGGCCCCCACCCCTGTCAGGGGCCAGGGCAGCTCACACAAGCCACTTGTTCCGAACGGAAACGTTTGCAAATCCCACTGGATTAAGATTTTTTTTTTTGAAGCGCTTCAGATATTTGGCAGGAAAACTGCAGTGACGCAAGGCCAGGCTGGTGGGAGGCTGGTTCCTGAGACGTGGGCTCGTCCCCTGAAAACAGTGACAGCGGCACGTGGACGGTGAGGCCACAAACCCCACGCCACTGCTCCTCCATATGGCACCAGAGAAACGGCCCGGAGACCACAGCTGCCCCCTTAACCAGTGCCAAGTACCCGCGCTCCTACCAACACCACCTCTCCCCAAGCAAGCCCGTGGGCCGGTCCTGCTCTGCCCACAGACAGCATGACAGGGAGAAGCGATGAGCAGGCAGGAGCCACGTGGGAACCCAATCTGGCTTGAGGACAGTGCTCATGGTTGGATGCCTGGCGGCTGCCGCCCAAAAGCAGCAGGAGGCACTTCAGACATACCGAGGGTTACGAGCCTGTCGCTGCCGATTCTGCGTGGGAGGAAGCCGGGCGGCTGTGCCCGCTGGCTGTGCTCGCGCGCCCTTCTGCTTAGCCTGGCGCTCTGCAGCGCGAGCCCTAGTACTTTGCCCGTCTCTAGCACCTGGCACCCACAGTGCCTTGCTAAGAACCTCAGTCTTGGGCGCTGCATCCGGAAAGGCCAGAGCGGCCTGGCCGTGTCCTGTTGGCTTTCAGCGCCCAGAAGCTGCTTCCACTTGATGGGCGGTTTGAGGCCTGCAGGAGACAACCTGGCTGTGACCGGGGCTAGTTCCAGATGACAAAAGCCATCGCCATGACGGCCAAACTTGGGCCCACTTGGCAGCCCCGTGACAACACGGAGGGGCGCATGACTCATGAAGGCTGAACAAGGGCAGCACGGAGGATACTCCTCCAGACTCCGCCTCACAAGAATATTCATACCCTCCCCTGGGGATTTTCCTGAAGTGAAGGCAAAATGGAGCCAGGTCACATGCCCGTTGCTGCTCCAGATTATCTAACAGGTGCGGCATGCAAACAGGATTCCAAACCTCGTGGGAGGCTACAGACCAGGACACGGGATATCCAAAAAAGTTAAAAGCAGAAGTGGGTGAGGTCTGGGGATAGTAGCCCATCAGAACAAGAAGATTTGCATACCGAGAAAACCATGTCGCCAATTGCTAATCCCTGCACTGTGATAGTCTAAGAGCTAAAGGCATGGTCGCCCCACCGTGTGTTCTCATGAATCGCTGTCGTGTTCAGGCTCAGTACCTGCCCCTCAGCTCTGCAGCCGGACAATGGCGGAATATCACTTCCCTACTTCACAAGGCAGCTGGGAGGCTGCACAGCTCCAAAGGGATTTAGGTGCCTAACCACCACTGATTTCCATGGGGGCTAGGCTCCTAAATACCTTTAACACTCTGGTCTCGATGACTGTTCCTGAAGCACTTTGGAATTGTTGGAAGAAAGGCATTAGTACCAGGTGCATCCTTTCCACCCCACGCCTCTTGGGAAAATTTTTTTAAAAAGCACTAGCGACTCACCTAACAAGGGAGCCTTCCTCCAGTAGCCGTCCCGCACCTCCACGTAATCGTACCAGCACAGGCGACTTTTAAACAAGTCCATCGACGTGAAATTTAAAACGATCTGTGAAGAGACAGCGCACAGTTATCTTTGCCCACGGCGCGATTTCATGCGACAGATTAGAGGCCATCGGTGCGGTCACTCTGCATACGAAGTTGTGATCGTGGAGGATGGGCCACATTTTATTATCTTGTAGCATCTTTCATTGAAAAAACCACCACCCACTTTTAACCTGATGGGTTTTATGGAGCTAGAGAGAACAAGACAGAAGCCAGCCCAGCTAACTGCAATAATTATGGAAGATTATGCCAATTGACCGCATGGTGAATAAAGAAAAAGCCTATTATTAAGTATAGAATCATAGAATACTAGGACTGGAAGGGACCTCGAGAGTCATCAAGTCCAGTCCCCTGTCCTCATGGCAGGACCAAATACTGTCTAGACCATCTCTGATAGACACTTATCTAACCTACTCTTAAATATCTCCAGAGATGGGGATTCCAAAACCTCCCTGGGCAATTTATTCCAGTGTTTAACCCCCCTGACCGTTAGGAACTTTTTCCTAATGTCCAACCTAAACCTCCCTGGCTGCAGTTTAAGCCCATTGCTTCTTGTTCTACGACCATGGGAGCTTTGGTCGTAAGTGCAAACGGTCATACCTCGACCGTTCGCAACTCGGGGAGCGGCTGTACAATGCTCAGGAGTAATCACAATGGGAGAGAGAGACACAGGTGAACATCAAACAGAGCTGCACAAAAAGGTTGGTTTCCCTTTGGCTCAACCAACCAAAAATGAAACGTGGCCATTCAGGAAAGTCTTTATGTTTTCTTTTTGATTGAAAAGTCCCAGTCTTTTTAGTCTCTTTTCATACGGGACCCGTTCCAAACCCCTCGTAATTTTTGCTGCCCTTTTCTGAACCTTTTCGGATGCCATCTGCAGCAAGTAGCACCGGTCCCCTATGCAAGCTCTACTCTGAAAAGAGAGAAGACGGGTGCAGAACATTGTATGTGGGAACCTGACCTCCCACAGCAATGCCTATCCACGACGTTGCTGTTCCGGGGTCATTGGCTCTGCATCCCTGTGCAAGACTCCACCAGATGAGCCTCCAACTTCAACCAAGATGGCGCGTGGCCTACAGCCTCCCAGGAAGTTGCTAACACAACGCCTTGGGCAACCCATTGCAGATCCAACGGGCTGTCGAACCTACCTTCTCCCCAGGCGTCACAGATATTCTCCACACGCAATGGGAGTAGGAAGGGTAGCCATTTGGGAAACCGGGGGCAGAGAAATTCCCCGTCGTGTCCTGCAAGGTTTCACCGCAAGCTGTGGGATTGAAAGACAGCAGCAAAGAGTTACCACCTGAAAGACATCCGTCAGTCCATCAAGCTGGGTTCGATCTCCTGTTGTGAATACAGCTAGCAAGTCAGGCAGCCTTGTACCGCCCGGTCCAAGACTCAAATCCAGCCTCAGTTAGTAGGGAGCTAAGAAAGATTTATCCATCTGGGGATGCTCAGAAAAATAAATCATTCCAAAGGGTAACCTCTCCCATCTGCACCACGGATATTTTTAAATGATGTGAATGGGGGAAGATCTTTTCTTCCCTTGCCACCAAAGGGAAAATTATGACAACCCAAGCCCACGAGAAAAGTGATTTTCCCTTCATTACACTCTGCTCAATAAAGTTCCCCTTAGTTACCATTGTTAAGACTCTGTTTCGGATTACAACACAGTCACAACAAGCCCAAAGCACCCTCCGTTCACGGAGCGAGCTCGGCAGCGCAGCAAGATGCAGGATAAGATTTTCATGTCATGCCATGTCAGTGCCTCTCTCCCCCACGCGCTGTGTGTTGCCGGTCGCAGCAGGAGAGCCGGAGAGCCCAGGAAGTTTTTAAATCACCAGCTTCCAGCCTCTGTGAACTCAGCTACGACTAATCCCTGGTCCTGGAGGCAGGAAGGGCTGGACTGTGGAACGCCATAGATTCGGGCAGGGCAGAAGGTGCCTGATGGGGGCAGAAGACCACCTATTTCACCTGCAGGGAATAGCACCAACCGCGGCTCGACTGCTCTGGATCGCTTTGGATTTCAGAAAGCTTGTACCCACTCCCCTTCTGAAGCGGGGTCTGACCCTGGCTTGGTTCCCCCAGCAACTGCTGGCAGCCCCCAAGAATCCTCCATAAAGCTGGGAGCACTTTGAAAGATTTGACAAGATGCAACATCTGCCTCGGTTTCTCATGCAAATGCCCCGGAGGCGGCTCTGCCGGGTACCCCTCCCCCGGCTCGCGGCTCGCTGATTTTTCAGCCTTGATCACAATGAGAGGGGTGGGTTGGAACCTGGGGGTGAAGAGAAACGGGCTCCAATCAGGACACTTAATATACATAAGAATGGCCAGACTGGGTCAGACCAACGGTCCAGCTAGCCCAGTGTCCTGTCTGCTGACAGTGGCCAATGCCAGGTGCCCCCGAGAGAGGTAACACAACAGGTAATCCTCATGTGATCCCTCCCCTGTCGCCCATTTCCAGACAAAGAGAGACTAGGGACCCCATTCCTACCTATCCTGGCTAACAGCCATTGATGGACCTCACCTCCATGAAACTATCTAGCTCTTTTTTGAAGCCTGTTCAAGTCCTAGCCTTCACCATTTCCTCTGGCAAGGAGTTCCACAGGTTGACTATGCACTGGGTGAAGAAAAACTTCAAGAGAAGCCACGCTGGTCTAATAAAAGATGTTCCTCACCCAACTCATCCCTATCTCCAGGGACCCACCTGGCTGCACCACCCCTGCAAACGATCCGGGTTCCACGTAGGCCGTTTGCACGTGCTAGAGGCACCAGGTGGAAGCAAAACTCCGTGCTGGACTCCTAGTGCCAGAGCCTGAAGTTAGAGGAGGTGAAACCCAACCCTCCTTCTCCACACATCTGAGCTACACTAGCGGTGCCATCTCTCGGGGCTATGACATGGCCTATGACATGCCAGAAAAGGGCCGGCGGTGATGGTGACGGGTCAGAGGAGGCTTCAGGGAGATTGACCGAAACCTGCTATTTTTGGTGATAAGGACACCCAATCTCTCTGGAGAGAATCACCTGGAATCATCAAGAGGTGGCAGGAAGGTCGTCAGGATGACTCCAAGACCGTCGGACCATTTACGGATGCATCCCAGGTCGTGGTGCGGGGAGATAAAGAACCACTGCTCTGAAATGCCCTGCCTCCGGGGAGAGGCAATTGCAGGGCACACGTCTCGTATTGCCAGAATTATACGGGGCGAAGAGGAGCTGCCGGGCAGGCTGCAGGGGAATTCGTTCGGGGCACGCTAAGTGCAATTACCCAGTGATCTTGCAGGATCATGGAATTACCGGGCAGACCCCGGGGGCTTGCCAGCAAACGCTGTTCTGATACAGCATCAAGAAAGGAGAGTCGAGAGCGACTTCCGACACGGTAAACAGTCCCAGAAATTCAGTTTGCTTTTTAGTTAGGAGGAGGGGTGTGTGTGTGTGTGTGTGTGTGTGTGTGTGTGTGTGTGTGTGTGTGTGTGGGGGGGACACAGGAAGTGGGTGTGAGCAAGGGGAGTGTCTTTCTCCTCCTCAATTGGGGGCCACAACGATGGGGGGGGTGTTTTTTCTGGTTCTCACATGTGCATGGCCCCTGACTGACTTTCCTGTGGGTTAGCAGCCCCCGATCCAAAACCGGCTCCCCGCCCCAAGAGCGAACTGGGCACAGAGGGGTTGTTAATATCCACACAGCAGGTGGCCAGTGAGGGATGCTAACCTGGCGGGGCGACGAGGAAGAGAAGACTGCTGCCTTTCCTTCCCGGCTCTCTGGGACATGCAGCGCGTCACCCAGCTGGGAGGGATGCGTCTCCAGGCCTGCGGCACATGGACTAATTCCACCTCCTCTCAGACTGGGACCCGGAAGACCCCAGAACTGCCCCCTTCTAAACTGCCAACATGGCTACTTCTGACTGGAGAAGCGTCTGCCCCTTTCTCGGGGAATTTGGACAGCGTCGCAGGGGACTGAAAAGGAGTTGGCAGCGCGTCACCCAGCTGGGAGGGATGCGTCTCCAGGCCTGCGGCACATGGACTAATTCCACCTCCTCTCAGACTGGGACCCGGAAGACCCCAGAACTGCCCCCTTCTAAACTGCCAACATGGCTACTTCTGACTGGAGAAGCGTCTGCCCCTTTCTCGGGGAATTTGGACAGCGTCGCAGGGGACTGAAAAGGAGTTGGCCTTACTCTCCTGTTTGCTTAGACGTGAAGAACAAGGAATAAGGCAGGGGTGGGGCCAGATGTGGCCCTCGGCTTGGCCCCTGAGGCTCAGATACACACCCCCAGTATTGGGGACCTGAGTTGGTGCTCCAGCCCCCCCCCAACACTCCCCTAGGGGCTGGAACCCACAAAATCTACCAGCCTGGCCCCCCCGGTGTGCAAGGGAAATGTGGAGCGTGCCCGTCTGTTTCTCATTTGGGTTTTTCCCCCCTTCTTACTCGTGTGCAACCCCCGACTGATTTTTCTGGGGGTCAGTAGCCCTCAACCCAGAAGAGGTTCCCCACCCCTGGAATAAGAGTTTCCCTTTTTGTCCTGGTGAGTTAATCTGGTGACAACCTGGCCCAAAACGAACCCGCCGTGGACCATTTGCCCTCCCCTACCCCTTGGTAACAGACTCTGAACATGGTGCAGTGTGCACTTCCTCAACCAAAAATCGGTGGGCGGGGACAGCAGGACTTTTAGCTTCCTTTTCCGCAAAGCATGCTGGGAAGGGGAGGAGTCTCTGAATATCAACTGCAGGTGCTACATCTGCTGAGGAAGAGAGTCGTAAGCCCTCAAAAAAATTCAAGCTGATTGACAAAAGTTCACCCCTCCCGGCTGGAAGCACTTGGAGGCCCCACCGTCTCCCCAGCTCTTTCACCAAAGGGATCGTTAACGTGCTGTTCAATTCCAGATAAAGCCCTCAGGTGGGACGGCGTTAGAGCCGCCCCGCTCTGGCTGTACTTACCTGGGCACTTGTACAGCTTCCTCGCCTGAGCAATGTCGCCCTGACTCAGCCGAATGCGCTGACCGATAGTTGGCCGTACCCCACTGTCATCGCGCCGGGGAAGGATGGTGTCCAGGAAGACCCCTCTGGAGACAGACAGACAGAGACACAGCAGTGAAGACGGCAGGATGTGCTGAGGGCTATCACAATTACGCATGAGAACCCGGTGAGACCACATGCCCTGCGCTAGCCGGAAGGGGGAACGGGATCTGACCGGACAACATATTTCATGAGAAGTTTGCGCTTTGATATTCGTATCCTCTGACTGTTCCAAATGTGCAGACAGCTCCGGTGAATTCCTCTCTGGGACTCGCAGAGGCTGTGGCTGCTTCTATTCCAGCACAAAGTCTTTACTCGCCATAAATCAGAGCGGGCAATAGAACAGCCTTTTGCAAGGCTCACGTCAACATACTCCCATCGGATCCACAGAAGCTCAGATTGCTCCATATGGCTATGGGAGCAGTGTGGGGTGTCCTTGCTGACCGAGACTACTGTCGACATAAGAATGGTCAACCTGGGTGAGACCAAAGGTCCATCTAGCCCCATGTCCTGTCTGCCCACAGTGGCCAATGCCAGGTGCTCCAGGGAGAGTGGACTGAACAGGGAATCTTCAAGTGATCCCTCTCCCTGACGGAGGCTAGGGACACCATTCCTACCCATCCTGGCCAAGAGCCATTGATGGACTCAACCTCCCTGAATTTATCTAGTTCTTTCTTGAACCCTGTTAAAATCCTGGTCTTCACAACATCCTCCAGCAAGGAGTTCCACAGGTTGACTTGCCATTGTTAGATGATAAAACTAAAAAGCTCCTCTGCTCCTAATGTCCAGCTTAAATTGCAGCAAGGGAGGTTTAGGTTGGACATTAGGAAAAAGTTCCTAACTGTCAGGGTGCTCAAACACTGGAATAAATTGCCCAGGGAGGTTGTGGAATCCCCATCTCTGGAGATATTGAAGAGCAGGTTAGATAAATGTCTATCAGGGATGGTCTAGACAGTACTGGGTCCTGCCATGAGGGCAGGGGCCTGGATTTGATGACCTCTCCAGGTCCCTTCCAGTCCTAGGATTCTATGATTCATGTCTTAACTCATCCCCACTCTTGGTCCCTTTGGACTGGCCAAGCCTCTGAGCCAAGGACTCTTTTTGTACCTTTTCCTAAGTCTCGTCTTTGTGCTCCCTTCTGGGTGTCCCCCTCCCCAAGTCTTAGACCTTGAGTCAACACAGGATTACGCATGTGCCTGACTTCCAGCATGTAAGCAGCCCACTGAAATGAACGTGCCTCTAGCGCAAGGGTCTTAAATGCAAACGTTATTTCAATGTAACATTAAAGGGAAGCATTAAGGCCTAGTGGGTAGAGCCCTGGACATGGCCTAAGGGGACTTGGCTTCTGTCCCCCTGCGTTTCCTTGCCAAGACAGCGGTCTGGCACCGTCCTGTTGCCTAGTTTGCTAATTGTGACCAAGCAGATCCGCTCCCTTGCTTGCCCTGCCCTGCCCTGTCGCACCATTCGTCAGCTGGCTCCCCCAGGCAGCAGCTACACAAGGACCCACAATGCATTGCTCCACTAGTGACATTCACCAGTGGCGAGTTTCAGGGTCCTGACGTCTAGACAAGGCCAGCGGGGGCAGAACTGGGCCCACACACCGGGGCTCAGTTCCCAATGCGCCTCTGCTATCCATGCAGTGGGCGGAACAATCCAAGAGGGCTCAAAGTCACCTCAACTGGGGAGGAAGCAGAGAATGTCAACATGGATAAGTACCACCTTGTTGCTCTACGTAACATTATCTGGAGGTCTTAGGGGTCTTTGTGAAAGGTGGAGACAGAGGCGGTGAAGAGAGGATTTCCCCGTGGTTCCACTGAGCCATTTGTATGCTTTGGCTTTACAGGTCTGGCAGGGCTAAGTTCTGATGTTGGATAGATCGCTGCTTGCTTACGTCATGCTTATCCGCATGAAACTCACAGGATTTCTAGCGGCAGTGCAGCCTGGGTAGCCAGCCGCAGGCGCTATATAAAGTAGTAAAGAGAAATAACCTTGGATTCCGACCTTGAAAAGGTGTTCCGGGCGTAGTGCATGATGCTGTCAAAGTCATAGGTCTCTCCCAGAGAATTCACTTCTCCGGCTTCCATCTTTAAGAAGTTGTACTCCTGACCTGCGACACAAGGCTCCGTTAAAAAGGAAAGGATTTCCCAGAAATCTGAGAGCCTGGCTCAGAAGAGATCTCACAAGCAACACGTGCAAATGAATAATTTTTTTGGCGTGGTGGCCGAACCACCAAAATAAAAATTAGAAAATACTTTCATTTGGGATCAACCCAAAACAAAAGCAGGGGTTGGGTGGAGAGGGTTTTTGTTTTTAGTTGTTTTTTGTTTGTTTTTGTCTACACTGCAGTAGCCAGTTGGTCACAGAATGTTAGAGAGAGAAGGCAGGTGAGGTAACATATTTTAATCAGACCAGCTTCTACTGGTGATGGAGACACACTTTTGAATTTATTTTGTGTAAACTCGAGCTGTGTAAGCTCAAAAATGTCTCTCTTCCACCAACAAAAATTGGCCCAATAAGAGATTATTTCACCCACCAAGTCTCTCAAATTTTCTGGCAAAACAAAATAGTTGAACACAAATTTGGTTTAGGTTGAATGAAACATTTCATTTGGGTTTTTTTTAAACCTGCTTAAAAATAAAATCGAAGATAAATTTGAACCAAATTTTGAATTAAGCCGAAACATGATGTTTAAAAAACATCGCAAGAAAAACATTGATGTTACTTATTTATTTTGCGGAAACAATTTGGCAAATTTGACACAAATCCATGACATATTTTGATCGACCTAAATCCATATAATGCAGAAAAAAAAATTGGTTGCACAAGTTTCTCCCAGTTCTACTCAAAAGGGGCATTTCTGGATCCTTGATGGGAAACAGATTATACCTGCTCAGACGTACAAAAGGCCTAACATGAAGAACGAGTCTCTCTTGTTCAGCCCAATCTCCTTTCTGTATCGGTTTCAAAATTCATTTGATTCTGTTTCTCCCATATAACTTGACTCCCTAGAAATGCTCTGGAAAAGCCAGTCACAGCCTAGCGCAGCGCGTGTCCCGTGGCACCAACCCCACGTACATTTCTGTGGGCTTCTCAGCTATCTTGTAAATTCCTTTAACGTTATTCTGTTTAGCCTGCCCACGCCCACGGAGCTCTGAGGTTTCTGCCGCAGTCTCGGGAAGTGCTACGAAAACGCCACTTTTACCTTGCTGGATGTTTTCTCGGATGATGGTGACATGCTGGTCCCGGTCGGGCCGCGTGTGCTCGTGCCAAAACCCAACCACGTGGCCCAGCTCGTGGGCCACGATGCCAAACTTGTCGCAGTTCTTGCCGATGGAGATGGCCTGGGGGCCTCCCCCTCGGCGCCCCACGTAGGAGCAGCAACTGGAAAACAAGGAGCTGGATGAGTGACGTTTGCGGGCGAAACCAGGCGGCATGGCTGGCCTAGCAGGTGTCTCTGGACTGACAGAGCAGGCTCCCCGGCCCTGCTAGAGGCAGGCGGACGAACTTGGGGTAACGTTGCCTTTTGTTGGGTCAAGGTGCTCCGGAGCAGGCAGGTCTGAGCTTGTCGAGAGAGAATGCAGCTGGGTCTCCCTCCCCATCACCCCCCATTTAGCCTTTTCACCTGGGGCAGGCCTTTGGAGCAGAACGGCCTCCGGTCTCCTTATGCCGCATGCCAGTGGCGGGGGGGTTGGTGTAAATCTCGGTGAGACGAGCCAGGCCTGGGGAATTGGTTGGGCCTGGGGCTGCTTTGGGAGGGCATTGGACTCAATGACCATCTGAGGTCTCTGCCAGCCCACGGTTCTAGGCGGGGCATCACGGTGGAGGGATATTAGATTCTACCGGCAAACGTGCCATCTCCAGACTCATTGCCCTGTGGAAGGCACAGGCCACATCCAGCCGATGGGCTGTATTTGCCTGTCCCTGGCCTAGCCCAACAGGCCCTCGATCCTGCTACAGTAATAAACAACAGGGGCTACATTCACCGTCAGGACAGAGCGCCGATGGGAAACCAACAGCCTAAGGAAACTGGAGCCTCCGAGAATCTACCCATCGGACCTCCACGGGGGGTCGTTAGGAACTGGGCAGCGAGTCCCTGAACCGGGAGAGCCGATGTTCCATTCCTAGTCCTGCCACCCCCTTCCTGTATGACCTGAGGCGAATCCCCAGTGGGGAGCCACCCCCAAGACTGGGAGCTTAATGTTGCCGTCTGTAAAATGGGCACAGAGCCTCCTGTGAGAGCAAGACGCAGCCTCTGCCCCAGCAGGCTCACAACGCGTTTCAGAGTGGCCCCACTTGGAAATACAAAATGGAGGCACGGCGCTTTCCACGCGAGTTTCACTGACAGGGACGGGACAGTCCAAAGGTGCACCTGTCCCACCGACATCCCTGGTACAGGATCAGGGAAGAGGCTAGCCGGTCGTGAAGCTGGAGGCCGCTCCGTGTGCCGGGGAGTGTCGCTTACCCGCAGGTTCTGTACGTGAACACGATGAAGCTCTCCTCGTCGGTCCTCTCCACAAACGTCACGCAGGTGTACTTCTCCCAGTGCCTCATGGCCTGCTTAAAAATAGCCCTCTGGCTGCCTGCAAGAAAAGAGCACAGCCACGCAAGCATGGAGGGCCTCGTTTCCCCACTGCTCCCCTCCGAGGCCACACCTGCTGCCTCACACCTGGCGAGCCGCCGTTCGAAGCGACACGATTCAGCACTGACAGTCGGGGCCGCGTGTCTATTCACCAGCCGGAGAGGCCCGCCGGCAAAAGGGAGTGACCCAATGGCCAGCTCTGCACGGCGCAGTGTTCTGGACACGACCCAACTCTCGCAGCGTTCAAGCCCAGGCCCACGCAGGACAGGGAATCAAAAAGCTGGGGGGCGGGGGGAATTCTGGATCGGCATTCGGGGCGCATGCCCCCAGCTCCACGGGAACGGAGCCAAACGGTTGCTGAACACGTCCTCAAACGAGGAGCAAACGATAGCGAAGGGAAAAGCTGGAGGGGGTGAGGACAGATGGAAAGGTACGGGCACAGACAGATGGTCTGGCCACGGGGGAGCATGCAAAGCAACGTGTACACAATGTGTAATGCGCTCCCTTTGCCCGGTGCACAAGGTCTGCTCCAGGCTGGCCCTGACGCCGCGGGGCAGAGGAGACGGCTCTGCCCTGCCAGCTAGAGAGGGAATGTTTAGGAAAGGGATCGGACGATTCAGCTGCCGACCATGGCACCTACCAATCTGTGCCTGCTAGCAGCAAATGTCTGAAGGAGATGGGGCACTAGAGGGGGGGGTCTCCGAGTTTCTGCAGAGAATCCTTTCCCAGGTGTCTGGCTGGTGGGTCTCGCCCAGACGTTCGGGGTCCAACGGATTGCCGGATGTGGGGTCAGGAAGGAATTTGCTCCGGGGCCAGATTGGCAGAGACCCGGGGGTGGGGTCTGCCGCGTGGGGCCCGGGTCACTTGGAG